TATTACTGCTGTTTGGAGTAGCAGGTGGTGACGTCACATTGGGAGTCGCGGGAGCAACGTATGCCATCATGGCGTCACTCAGTAAGCATTTCACATCTTCAGCCTGTCAATCAAAAACACATGTACATAATTACACAACAATATACCTGCTGTTAGTGTTGGAATCACAGTCAGAGTTAATAGAGACTTAAAGATTCGAAGACGAGAACGAATACGAGTGCTAAATTTGATTTTCAGACAGTTTTTTGTGTATTGTCAAAAAATAGATACCCTGGAATCGAATGCTTCATTGTAATTTCTTCACCAGAAATGTTTGCACTGTTATTCTTATTGGAGGAGGTTAAAACCTCTCCTGATCGCAAAATTATAAAGCGTCTAACATTTGCGATCATTTGACAACTCGTTTCCGCCACTACGACATCAGGGAGCTTTAGCAACGACGACGGCGACGGCAACGAGGACGTCAAAATGGTAAAACGTTTATTACGCAAAACAACAACTTTGCACGTGCATCATACTTTTTGGTACATTTCTTTACCGTCCTAGCACGACTACGACGAATCTCTTTTTCTCTCTCTAAACTTGAGTGCGGTCCTCAAGAATTCAACTCCAGGGAAATTCGCCTACACTTGCCTTTTTTAGCAAATTGGAATAAACGCGACAAAGATTGAAAAATTCAAAACTGACGTTTTCGCGGCCGTTGCCGTCGTCGATGCTAAAACTCCCTATTCTTGCTAAAACTCGTAATACAATGACGACGGCTATCACGTTTCCCGCCAAAATGACGTTGGTTCACGCGCGAGCTCTACTTAGTATTGAAAACATCTCGTACTCGTAGTCGTCCTCGTCGTAGAATCTAAAGCTCTCTAATGACAGAAACCACTGAATTCATCTCTGCCTCATAATTTACTAGATGAAACAATTTTTTACGATAACTGGTTCGTTATCAAATAAGCAAATTCGTAGCTTGAAAGTTTGTATTTTTTAGCTTATTCAAGAAAACCTAACAATTTAACTGCCTTTCAAATACCCACACACAAATAAATTCCACACAGTAAATCAGAAACAAGACCACTCGAACTGTCGCTTTTTAAACTTAATCTCTGTCATATAGACCTCTTTCGATTGAATGCTTTCTTTTCCTAACATATGTCATGTGACGCCTTTTTAGAAAACTGCTCCTTTCAAATCTGTCTCATTCAAGAGCATAATATGTACGCATAACGTATGAAAACACAAATCGCAAACTCCCTTGTGGATATCACACAACCTACAATAAAAATATACCTATGGTTTTCTATTAGCAGGGTTTAAGATTTTACCGTTGCAAGATCTAAAGCTGTCTGACCTTCCTGGTTCTTCATTGTGGGGTCTGCGCCATGGGCCAGCTGCAAATTGTTAAAGCAACCAAAATATTCTGTCAGCCCCATAATAACTGCGTACTGTAGGGTATGGTTTTTATAGTCCGAGTTTATGCTTCCTTTACTTTATGACCCCTACCTACTGTAGACAACAAAATTCAATGTTATGGTATGAACAATCATTTCTAATTATCATTTTTAACACAAAAATTCAACCCGAAGAAAACGCCGAAATTACTGGGAAAACATTTTTCTGGCATTTTAAAGGCATCTTTACCCTGCGAGCAGAGGTTTTTCTCTTGCATGGCTTTTAGCGTTTACGAAGTCATTCGCGCGGCTTGTCTGTCGCGTAGTTGGTGTTTTTACGCCCTGGGGCGTATAAAACAAACCAACTACGCGACAGACAAGCCAGACAAACGACTTTATTATCACTAAAACCATGCAAGAGAGAAACTCTGCTCGCAGGGTAAGGCACATGTTATGGATAGCCTTAATTTATTGCAATCAATACCGATAGAAAAACATGAAAATGCAACTTCATAAAGACAGTCTGTCACTTACCAAAAGAGCACAAAGCTGTGTTCTCTCTTTCTGGGAAGCTTCATGTAGAGGGGTAAACAACCAGCGATCAGTAGCATTGACATCAGTATTGTGCTTTATCAGAAGAGATGCAATGTCCACACATGCTGCAAGAATATAACCCAGGACTTGTTTTAGAACCACAACAAATGTAGACGACTATTATTCTATCCTCCTCAAGTAAAACATTGCCGTTAAAGAAACTTTTAGTTATGAGCTGTTCAATCGGCAAGCACACAGGCCACTAGCAATTAGGACTTGGACAATAATCACAGTTTAGTAAAGTGTGTTCGATTCACTGTTGCATAGGACTACAGCGCACATTCAAAGAAAATCCATCACTTACCTCTTCAGGTAAACTTCAACTGACTGACTAGAGCATGATTATGACTGTTTTATTTCCTGAGAAGTCTTTTATGCATCTGCACCCTGATTGGTTTGATTTTTGCTTCACGCATTCTTGGCAAGATTGTAAGACTTACCCCGTAAGATGAAGCATTATGTAATGGGATCAATCCACCCTTGTCCTGTGCATTCACATCAGCTCCACTTTCCAACATATATTCAGCCACTTCAAAATGATTATACCCAGCTGTGGAAGATTTAGCAAGGACATTAGAGAGTCATGTTTACGGCAAACGTTAGATTCAAGTAGAGAATTATTTTTTCAAAACAGCTTATAAGCGAATAAAAACAGTCCAACACAATTCTTATGGATAAAACTAACCTGAAACTACCAATTTTGTAAAATCATGAACGTAAACGACAAGTACGGGAAAACTTGGTCACGCGGTACAAATTGACGTTTGCCGTTAGTCGTAAACGCCACTCCTTTTAAAATAGTACGTGAGGCAACAGGACAACGTTTTTGTGTGACAGACGTGACAAGGCTATTTAATACTTGCGTGTTTTATCGCGATCGTCACTTAACATCATTGGTATTTTATTTCGCAGACAAAAAAAAACTGTTTAAAGGATTGGAATGTGAAGTTTGGCTGAAAAATTCTTAAACAATAATAATAATTGTCATGCTTGTCACGTAAGGGGTTACCATCTTCTCTTCTCTAACGTCTTAAAGCGTAAGGGCAGTGAAGACAGCGCGCGCAGATTGAAAACCGCGTTGACCAATGGCAGAGCAGCAAATCGGACGCCGGAGAGCATTTCTCATTAAACACTGCATTGTCTTTGCCAAATCTACTTCAGTAACCATGAGAGAGACTTTAACTATTGCCATTTCAGAAAGTGACACTTTTTGAGCATGACTAAATGCAATGAAAGCGTAATGCAGGGGGGCTGTTAGATACATAGTTGTTGTTTCAGTCAATATATAATGTACATAATACATAAGGCAAAAGTTGTATGTCCTTTAAGGCTGGCTGAGGGCCCTGGATACTATGCTAGAAAAACAGTACATGCAGTGAGGACAGTGAAGACGCTGCGCACAGACGCAGTTCAAATCCCAGACTACTTTTCCCATTCCCCTACTATTCATCGACAGGTTTGGAATATAGTTATTAGATTGAGTTTAACGTACTAGCAAGATGTAATGGAGTGGACCTCGACAGTTTATGTTTTCTGGAGTGGAGAGTTTCATGACCTGCACAAACAGAACCAAAACACGAAGATATGGGTTTACTTACGAGTTTCCAACTTCAATTTTATACGTTATGGCTAAAATATTTGTCACTTTCACTCAGTTTTAAATTCATGACCAAAATCCTTTGGTGTTACCATTCAGAGGTTAGCTGATGTTACTACAGCAATCCAGATGCTAAATGAGAGCAGTATTGTGTACATACCCTTGTTAAATTGCCCTTCTTTGCTGCATCAAGTAAAGCAGCATCACCTAGGGAAATGACAAGAAAAATAATCAGTTTTTGCTGGACTGGGGGCTGGTTTGATACTTGCTGAAAATCAGAAAGACTAATAACTGTTAACATTGCCACTGAAATGGAAACGCACAAACTTTAAAAAAAGAAACCTTTGGAAAATTTTGATTAGAGCTTGAGAGCTTGATTGATACTGCGTTCAAAAAATGAGCTTTGTGTACAATTTACCGTGCCGCAGGTCAACAACACACAGTTTTGAACACGAAAAAAGTTTCACTTCGTGTACATGTGGAGCATCTCATTTTGTTCAGCTGATGATGGTGTCCACCACAACGATAAAAAAAATACCTGTATTTGGCTCTAATATCCTGAAATACAAGTAGGCAATCAGACAAACCACCGTGCTGTATTTTTATATTTTGTCTTAAAAAAGGATTAAGTAAGAATCAATTTACACCCCGCTATAAGCGTAAAGGGATATAAGAATGTTTTTACCTCTTAGTAGGTCTGCCACATCAGTGTCTCCTTCTTTCACAAGATCCAATGGAGTCTGGCCATCACGAGTCTTCTTTTGAGAATCAGCTCCATGCTGTTACAAACAACAACAAAAAAAACAGAAGCTAATGTAACAACATCCTAAAGTAAAAAACATGAAACTTCCTTGTAACTAAATTACTTAAAATTATACAGAGGAACCTTCAGGTACAACCACCTCCGGAAAGCCACTTCGCACCATACGAGAGGACAGATCCAAAACACCAACATTTTCCCACTCAAAGCTTTACAACAGAATCTCTTGTAAACTAATATCTCTTGCAAGCGACTGTGACCACTTTTTGGGCAAGACGGTTTATAGTTTTACATTGTTTTTATCATCTTGTAAGTGACCACTTCATGCATGGTTTGCTCTCTTTTTTCACTGAATGTACAACACCAGAGTAAACGTACGAAGAACTTTCAAAGACAACTTGAAATCACACATTAATTAGAAACTGCATGTAATAAATTCTCTTCCAAAAAGTAAATGTAACAAAACCTCTTCCCAGAAAAGACCCCCTGTGGGTTGATTCTTGTAACTGACCACCTCCCCTAGGCGATCACTACCTTATTCTTCGCATTTTGGGTGGCTGCTTACAAGAGGTTTGACTGTAATTACTTAGTGGTGTTTTAGGGGTAGATCTACATGTAGGGGGAGGGTGCAAGGGGTGCCCTCCTCCCCCATCTCCCACTAAGATGACCTGTGGCTTGCTAATACAACTGGTATTCTGTATTAAAATTTGTTTATGTCACCTGTCAGTTACGCCCTTCCTTAGTGGCGTACCCCCTCCCAAAAAAAATCCAGGATCCACCCCTGGGTTTGGTTCAGAAATTAATGATAACTATAGCACATGACATCTCAACAGAACAACCAGTCAAAAAGGTCAACAGTAAATAAGGTAAGGCAGTTGATAGAGTGCCTGTCTGCAAGGCAAGAGGTTGCTATTTCAATTTCCAAGCTAATTCAAAGGGAACAGATGGCAAATTTTTGCTGCTTGAAATATCTGTAGTTCTAACTGTTCATCAATAGGATGCCTAAAGTATGTGCAATTCCACAAAAGGTTTCAGCTTTGTTAAATCCTATACCAATAAATTTTGTAGAACATTTTAGGAGGAGCCACCCACAATGTGAGCAGAATGTGAGAAAGCTAGTTATTGTTACTTGTGCTACATGTACCTTGTACCTTCCTAATCCTCTTTATTTATCGTAGTAACTAAAACAAGGAATGACCTACAATGATCTACAATGACCTTAACAATGATCTACAATGAGCTACTATGAGCTGCTACGAGCTAAAATGAGTTAAAATAAGCCCTAAAATGGGCTACAAAATGACAGACAATGATGTTTGTCATGTGTCACGCTTGGACGTGACACTAGGCTCATGGTATTAAATTGCCAAGCACATTTTGAAAAGGCAAAACAAAAATAAAGCCTGATCTCAGGTAACTTGAGAAACTTGAAAATAAATTATTGTGATGGCGTTTTCACCAGTAACACTATTATACCCTGTATTGACGGAAGTCATCCAGGCACTCCCTTAGTTGGCCTAGATGGGTATGGGCTGCTGAGCAGGATATGGATTTTACTATTTAGCATTACAAACAGAGCATCTTGTTGGACCGGAAGCCACTTGAAGGGTCTTATGATGTCTTATACAGGCCAGGGTACTTAAATAAACAATTTTTCTCTTAAACAGGGTCAGAATTTGAAGGCCTCGTTTGTTCATCTATACCCAAACGTCCCTTGAAGATCCCCCAGGATCGACTGTTGGGGTGACTGTGTTTGTTTAATTTGTTTGAAAAAAGGACAACACAAAACACAACTAACAGGAAAGGTTGCAAAGGATGGTTTGGACAAAAGTCACAGTACTGTGACAATACACTGGATTCACGCAGGCGCAGGTGCATTTTTATCTCATGTGATGACTGGAACCAGTTTTGTGATGTGCACTTGATAAAGTGGACAAAAAACACAATACAATTTTCTTTGTGATTTATTTAATTAATTTTAAACCATAACAAGCTGAAACAAATATTAATACGAAGTAACCACCATTAAAAACAAATCACTGTTCATTTTTGTGCACATCTTCAGCATGGTAGCAGAAACTCCTTACGCTTATATTAACATACTCCTGGAATCTTAAGTAAGTCACACCAACTACTGACTTGTTGTAGACTGGGTCAGTTGTACATTGGCGTAAGATAAATCAAACCACGCTAACAATTAATAATGTAACCTCACTAACACAACGCAGGATAGTCAAATTTGCACCTCGATGACCACTTTGGCAAAATAGCCTCCTCCGAGGAACGTTGCACTTAAGTTTACGAATTTATGGATACAACGCAACCTACTTATCTTGAATTCCGTTAGATCCATAAAAACGCGTAACAGCACCATTTTCGATACAGAATACATTTTACAGTGGGCTGGTTAATTTCTTTTTGGTAAATAGACTTTTTATGTGCGTGTCATTAAATACGTTACATTAGGTGTTTTTGTCATTTAACACAGGAAAATAATCCAAAGGTTTTTTTGCGATTTTTTTTTTCATTATCATCATACATGCATTATTACACTGTCAAATTTATCTCCAAGAGTAATAATTAGAGATGCTGTCATCATTTGGGCTGTCATCCAGTAGACTAAACGCGTTATGTTTATGCACACATGTCCCCTGATCTTTTTTTTTTGTCTTTTTCTAAACTCTTCATTTTAGCTTATTACAGGGATCTTAGGCGTATTTTCAGGTCCCCCCGTTCGGTCATTATACGTCATTGTAGATTAATATTATTGTAGATCATTGTAGGTCATTCCTTGTTTTAGTAACTACGCTTTATTTATTTTATTTTCTTTCCCTACTTTAGAACATTGTGTAATTATTATGACTATTACTGCACTGTTATTCACTGACAATAGACTCGCTTATTGTGGGTAACACAATTTCAGATTATAAGAAATCATCAGTTAACAAAGCAAAATTGACTGGTTTGTGAGCTGGTAACTTTGCTACTATTCAACAGGTTTGGATTTCAAAATTTGCCTTAGTACCCAAAAGTTATTGGGCCTTGTGAAAAACTTGAGGGACTTAAGGCTGGTAGCTTGCAAAACGATATGTGGACAATGCAACCATTTGAAGAAGGTTGACTGTTCCAATTGTTTTGAAAAGAAACAAAAAATGCTCTTT